AGTACCAAATAAATAAATAAATAGCAAGAAACAAGTAGGCTTTCGAGCTGTCAGACCCACTAGATCCCTCATCAATGGGTTAGCAACAGTCTTTTGGAATGGAACGGAATGGAATGAATTAGAATAGAGCTAGAATAGATCTGCGTCATGTGAGCTGGGGTAAGCGGCTCCCTTTAAACTTGTGCTTGAGTAATCTATATCTACAAGCACAGGGAATATACAAAACATGTTTCTAAGTGTAGGTTGAGTCAAAAAGTTTGAAAGCCATAATGGGCAATCTATAGAGTCAGAACCCGTTAGAGGTGGGTAAGAATCAGCAAAAAGTGCAAGGTCACTGGGACCCTTGGACGCAAAGAAGGGACCGGGCAGGGGTGGGTGCGGGATGGGAAGCCACTGGGCGGACACCGCTGGGGAAGGCGAGCAAATGTGGGGATTCCCGATTTGGGGGCGCCAGGCTTAGTCCAGGGGTCGGATGGGTTGGGGAAAGGAGAACCAGGAGAAAGGAGGCGAATCGCGGGTGTCGGACAAGGCGGCCGGAGCCCGGGACGCAGAGCCGGCACCCCCCTCCCCAGCACAACAGCCCCAGGACCCAGGAGAGCCGGGCCGGAGCGCATCTAACCGTGGGGCGCATCCAACCGTGGGGCGGGACCCTCCGGGACCCTCCCTGCCCGCTGGGGCCCGTCCTCACCGACGGCAGCGGGCCCTCCCTCTCCGGCGACGGAGCCGCGGCGGGTCCCTTGGTCTCGGCCGCGGCAGCCGCAGGCGTCGACCTGGCGGCCCAGTCCCCTCCGGCCAACACGACCCCAGCGCCCGCTCCCCGCCCAATCTGCCCCTTCGGGAGCGAGCCCCGTGCCCGCGCGCGCGACCCCGCGGGGAAGCCTGCCTCTCCGAATGCCCAAACAGGCTCCTAGCGATCATGCGCAGTAAAGCCACGGAGTCGTTTCGTGGGCAAATTCCACTTCTCCGGGTCTTCCCTGCGCGCCGCTGAGCTGATGGCCTGGCCAGTAGGCGTGTAGGGGCGTAGCCCTTTGTCACGAAAGAGGCGTGACCATCCTGGGATTGGGAGATCGCACCAAGGGGCAGGGCTCCCTCCACGCAAAGGGGCGGGGCAAATGGGTTTGATTGAAAGCTCTGGATCTTCCCAGAATTTGACTTTGCGCTGATAAAAGTGGGGCGTTTTTGTAAATACATACCTAGGCTTGCCGCTTTCCTGAGCCAGTGGAAAGAAATTTCTTATGCACCTCATTTAAGCCTAAAAGGTCCCCACCCCAAATCCAGGACAATTTGATCTTCAAAATAAATAATCAGCCAAATTCAGTGACGCAAACCTGTAATCCCAGCAACTCTGAAGGCTGAGGCAGGAGGAGATCCCAAAATAAAAAATAAATAAATAACCGTTAGTAACAGATTATAACCTTAAATAAAATAATCCACGGGTTGCTTTTCTAGGTGAATAAATGGGAGAGAATATTTTTTTTTCTTATGGCAGAAAAACAATTTTAAAATGCAGGAAGAATAATGCAGGGCCGGGCTCATTGGCGCACACCTGTAATTCCAGCAACTCTTCTATGAGTTTTATAATTTAGCTTTTACTAATTTGGATCTTTGACCTATTTTGAGGGTTTTGTTTTGTTTTGTTTTGTATATTATATGAAGGAGGTTTTCATTCTTTTTTTTTCCTGACTTATATTTTGAACTGATTTTACACCTACCCAGAACATTCCCATAGATATTCCAGTAGTCCTAGTACTATTTGTTCAAAATCCTTCCCCCATGTAAGTGTCCCAGCATTGCCTCACAGGTGTTAGGTACATAATCTCAGAAATTTAGTAGGCTGAGGCGGGAGGATTGCAAGTTGGAAGCCAGCCTCAATCACTTAGGGAGACCCTGACACAAAATAAAAAATACAAAAATCTGGAGATGTAGCTTAGTGATAAAGTGCCCCTGGGTTCAATTCCCAGTACCAATTAATAAGTAAATATCCTGGGGAGTGTGAGTCTACAACTTGGTCATTCTTTTTTTTTTTTTAATATTTATTTTTTAGGCGGACACAACATCTCTGCTTGCATGTGGCGCCGAGGATCGAACCTGGGCCGCACGCATGCCAGGCGAGCGCGCCACCGCTTGAGCCACATCCCCAGCCCACTTGGTCATTCTTTTAAAATTTTGTTTTATTTTGGGGTGTTGGGATGGGAGCCCAGGGCCACACACGTGCCAGGCAAGCACTCTACTACTGATCCCCGACCCCCCCAGCCCTTGTTCATTTCTAGATTACCTATTCTGGGTACCTTGAGTTTCCAGATTTCCTCTTTCTGATCAATCTTTTTGAGAATGAATCTAATCTTGCATCGTTGAGATCATTGAAATTATTTTTTATGTGTCCCTGCTTTTTTATACCTCTCTATTGTAAACTTCCTCCCGCGGTATAACGTATTTTATATAGGACTGGCTACCTAATTTAGTTATTTTCCTATTAGCAATATCACTACAGGGGCCGGAGTTGTAGCTCAGTGGTAGAGCGCTTACCTAGCAAGAGTGAGGCACTGGGTTCGATCCTCAGCACCACATAAATAATAAGACATTAAAAAAAGAAAGAAAGAAATATTGCTGCTAAGTCCGAGGTCATTCCTGACATTTGGGGAATGTTCTGGGTAGGTGTAAAATCAGTTCAAAATTAAGTCAGGAAAAAAAAAATCACCTTTGCTAGACTTTCAGCCTTTTGGTAGCCGAAAAGCCTTTCCCCACGGGTGCAGCCCTCGCCCACAGGTCCAGCCCTGGGTCCAGCCCTTGTCCACTGGTCCAGCCCTCGCCCTTGATCCAGCCCCCGCCATTGGTCCAGCCCTGGCTCACTGGTCTAGCCCTCGCCCACTGGGCCAGCCTTCGTTCGTGGTTTCAGCCCTAGCTCACCGATCCAGCCCTCACCCATTGGTCCAGCCCTCGCTCATCGGTCCTCTCTGCCTCCGCCGTGTACCGACACCGACCCACGTCATCCTCCAGCAACTCCCGGCCGCCGGGTGCCCAGGGTACCGGGATGGCTCCCGGAGGTGCTTTCCTGGGACACTTGGCGGCGCCACATCCAAGTCCCTCCTCATTGCTCAGAGCTTCCTGCTTCAAGCTGCGCGTCCTCGGCAGTGCGGGGCGCTGACGCTACTCCTCCCTGGAAGACTCCCAGCTGCAGGCCCCGCGGCGCTCCTTCCCGCCCCTCCCCGGCTCCAACGCTGAGGCTGGAAGTGACCTGGGACTCCAAGAGGGCTGAGGCCCAGGTCCCAGGATGGGAAGACTATCGCACTTCCCAAGTCTTCCCGCATCCTGCGTCCTCCGTGGGGTCCTTTCCTTTTGGCATCCTTTCACATCCTCTGTATTTTCAGGGCTAGTCCTCCTCCACCCCACCTCATCCCATCCCACCCCATCCCATCCCACCCCTCGCCACCCTCTGTGTCTTCTCCAACCTACACACCTATTGAACCTGCAGCCCCTCCTCGCGCCCCACGACCCGGAATCTGTACCCCAAGTATCCAGCAAGCTCGGTACCTCCTTCACACTTCGGTCCCAGCTGGCTCCCTCTCTACCTGCTCTCCACATTGGGAACTTCAGGGACCAAAATCAACAAAAATCCTTTCCCTGGTGGTGTTAAGCTTATGTTACTGGGGGCTGTGGTGAGAGGCCGGGGGTACCAAGAAGCAATAGGCATAGCAAACCATGAGATGCATGGTTTTAGAAACTGGTATGTGCTATGCAGAAAATAAAGCAGGAAGTGGGGCTGTAACTTTTTCCGAGTTTATCTTAGTGGGCATCAAAGAGTAGGGGTCTCTGTCTCTCCCAGCAGCCAGCCATCTGCAGGTCAGTGCAGAAAAATGAAGAGCTGGGCATAGTGGCACACACCTGTAATTCCAGCAACTCAGGAGGCTAAAGCAGGAGGATCGAAAGTTCAAAGGCAGCCTCAGCAATTTTGCAAGGCCCTAAGCAACTTAGTGAGACACTGTCTCAAAATAAAATATAAAAAGTACTGGGGATGTAGCTCAGTGGTAAAGTGCCCCTGAGTTAAATCCCTAGTACCCCAAAGTAAATAAATAGATTCATAGATAAATAAATAAGACTGGGAGGCAGCCCAGTGGCGGGGCAGCAAAAGGTAAGGTAAGGACCTGTCCTGGACCTCCTGGGGAATTTAGTAGGAGCTGGGGGTTGGATGATATGGATGATGTCACTGAGTCAATGGAGATTCCTTTACATGCACTATCTATTGTGATCCTAAGAGTGACAGGGAAGGTGGAGCTCAGAGGTGTACACTGAAGGATTCATTGTTTGCAATCTGTATTTAAATGGTTTGGAAAAAGGGGAGTGGGAGGGGAGGGAGTCCAGGTGAGGGCTAGATGTTGTTCACTGTACTCTTCCTGCAGCTTTTACATATTCAATTTTTTAAAAGTAAAAACATAAGTAAACAAAATTTTACTTTGCCTGACTCAGTACTTCTGGTTCCTCTCAGCTCCCAGTACTGGGTCACTCCCTAATCACCAGCTCTGCCTACCTATTTTGGCCCCATGTGTGCCCTTGCTGCCCCCAATGGCACCTCACAGGACCATCAAAAGTGCCTCTCAGCTCTGGTGCTCCACACAGCCCCTAAGACTGCCCTGTTGCCTCCCAAAGTCCAAAGGAGGGGATTTTTGTGCAATCATTGTCCTGCAGGCAGAGTGAGGGAATCCACTCTCTCTAACCGGCCCTTGCCTGGACTGTGGCCTCTTGACTCTCAAGAGGCCACAGGAGGCTGGCCATGAGGTCAGGTGCCTCGGCCCCTCCCCCTCCCCACTCCTGCTTCTCTGGGATTACCTCCCAGATCTTCTGCAGGCATTCTTCTTCTTCTTTTTTTTTTTTTTATTGGGGGGGCGAGTACTGGGGGCTGAACCCAGGGTCTCATACAGTCTAGGCAAGTGCTCTGAGCTCTGGCCCCAGCCCCCAAAGGCATTCTTATCATCTGACAAAACCAGACAATGATGAGCACCCAGGAAAGGAGAAACCATAGTGGACTCTTATTTGAGTATAGAATGAAGACAAAAGAAATTTCCAAATTATAGTCACAGAACAGAATAAAAATGTTACAAACAATGTTATAAAAGTAAAATGGAAAGTAACTTGTGTTTCCTGATAGAGGCAATTGATGCTCTTTAATTTTTTTTTTTTTGGGCAGGGGAGTGTGCTGAGTATTGGACCCAGGGGTGCTTAACCACTGAACTGCATCTCCAGTCGTTTTTGCAGCAAGGTCTTGCTAAGTTGCTGAGACAGGCCTTGAATTTGTGATCCTCCTGCCTCAGCCTCCCAGGTCACTAGGATTACAGGAGTGTACCATCAGGCTCAGCTCATCCTCAGTCCTTTTGATTTTAGTTTGAGACAGAGTCTTGCTAAATTGGCTGAGGTTGGCCTTAAACTTGTGATCCTCCTGCCTACCAAGTCACTGGGATTATAGGCCTTTCACCACTACACCTAGAATGCTAGTTAATTTTGAATAAATGTTTACAAACACAAGGCTGCTACAGCCTGCATTTTTAAAATTATTCCTTGTGCCTAGAGGCAATTTTCAAATAAGGACCACGAGGTGAAGGGTCTGGAGGCTGAAGCTTTGGCCCTGGGGACTCTAGGAGCCTCTAACTCAGGGGTAGATGTTGTTCACTGTACTCTAGGAGCCTCTGAAGGGGACAGTGGGAGGTCTGCCCTGTGTCTGATATTTCCTTGAGGAGGGTAACTGTGTTTCCTTCATCTCCCCTCCAGCAGGGCAGCCCCCATGAGTTTGGGGAGGGGCTCAGGTGCCAGGAAGTCTCCTCAGCCCCCAATCACCTGAAAAGAACATAGGAGGCCACTTTGCACTTTTGTCAGGATCCTTTCCAGACCCCAGGAGCTGCAAGCTAACCCCTTCCTCAGTACAGGCCTGGAAGGGTGGGCTCAGTGCCTGGGAGCCACATCTGGGAGGCTTCCTGAGGGAGGGCAGTGACTGAGGGGAATCCTGTGCAGACTCAGCAGGCAGAAGTCTGAGGTTCCCTGGGGGAAGGGTCAGGCAGCATCCAGGGTCTGGTGATATCAGACACGGGGCAGAGCTCCCACTGACCCCTTCAGACCAAGGCAGCAGGAAGGGGAAACCTCAGGGGCTCTACCTGGTTATGGTCAGTAGCTGGTTTTCCAGCCTGAGGAAACGAGGTGAGGCCTGGGGGTTGGAAACCCCAGTAGAGTCCCTGGACTGATGGCCCAGGCCAGGCAGCTATGGGGCAGGGCCAGGAGAAGGCTGATGGGGGAGAGCGGGCCCAAGGGTGGTGGGGTTGGAGCTGGTCTCCAAGGACTCGAATCCTGGCACGTTTAAAACCTGTCCATGATGGGTAATAGTATACAGGTTTTAAATTCTCCTTTTGATTTTTTTTTTCTCCTTACAAAAGTACCTTAGGCTTGATGTAAATTTTTTAAAAAATTACACAATGTTGAAAGTGAAAATCCCCCGACGTCCTGGCCTGGGAAGTCTTGTGGACTAGCAGAACCACCCAGTCCTTGGCAGTGAAGACACAGCAGCTGTAGCCACGTTGCCAAGGTTACAAGGACGCACTGGGTGTAGCAGGGCAGGCGGCAGCTGGCTCCCCATGCCCAGCGGGATCCATGGCTGCAAATCCGCTGTCTTCTTTGCTGCCTGTGTCTGGAAAAGAGGTGGGTGATCAGGCTGGTGGCAAAGGACAAGGGATGGGATGGGAAGGGCTGGACCTGGGCGTCCAGGGGTCTACCCATGTTGGAGGCCCCTGGCCTTGCTGGCTATTTCTGTCCAGAAGTTATTTCTGTCCAGAAGCCTCTGCTGGCTGACTTAGGGAAATAATTGTCACCTCAGGGCCACTGCTCCCAAAAGTCACTAGCCCAGGGACACAAAAACTGTTAAAATCATTTCCAGGAAACTGGGCTGAGTGGGAGTAAGACACTGCCATCCCTACTGCCTGGGCTGGGCTGTGCAGAGATGGGGAAGTCTGCAGGGAAGGAGGAGTATCAGGAGCCAGGGGTCATTCCCCAAGAGAATGCCTGCCTAAGGGAGCCCTGCCACTGAGTGCAGCCCTTCATCTGAAGAAATGGGACTTCATTCCAATTCCCACAAAACAGAGGACCCTAGAGCCTGGACAACAAGAGAGAATGGTAAAACAGCAGTCTCAAATGGTTTGGAAGGACCCTCAAGATGGCTCCATCCTACACAGCTCAGTGGGAAGAACAGATTCCATTCCAGATTCACTGTTGGAGGCCAGTACCAGCAGTGACAAGAGGTGGTCTCAGGGCAATGACTTAGCCCCTGTGAGCCCAGCCTCTACCTAGACTGGCAGGAATATGGTGGATACATGGAAGCACTCAGAGCAGGCCTGGCTGATGGGAGCTGGCATGCTGCAGAGGGGCTAGAAGCTCAGGGGCCCAGGATTCCTCTCTCCAGCACTGCCTCAGTGCTGGGATACCCGCCAGGGCTGTGGCCTGGGACAGCAGCAATAGCCTCAGACCTCAGGTCACTTCCCATAAATATCCATCAATGAACGGTTCCTTGAACAGTTCAGGTAACTGATGAAAATCCAAGGGCCCCTCCCTTTCCTTAAGCCTGACTGTCAGGTGAGTGCTCTAGTAGAGCCCAAGGCCACCTGTTCAGAGGCAGCAAACCAAGGCCCAGGACTATGGCTTTTATTGTCCTCTTCTTCTCAGGGCATGGCAGACCCCACTTCCAACTGAGAAGAAACACATCCACTGGGCACTCCCCCTGGAGTACTCTTCAAAATTTGTACTCAAAAGATGACTTTGGGTCCTTATATTTGCACTAAGCCTGGTGGGGGCTGTGGATCTGCCTGGAGTCCTCACAGACTAACACAGAAACATAGACCCACACTGACTCACCCCTAGGCAAATACAAAGAAAGACAGAAATAGACAAACAGAGATGTTCACGTAGGTAGTGACTCACACACAGTATATGCACAGAAATGGCCTCAGCCCAAGCACCAGCATGTGCCAGGATGAAGGCACACTCTCTAATCATCCTAACCAGCCTATCTGCCCAGGTGCCAGGGGATTTCCAGCTCCATGGGGGTCTTACCTGGTGGCCCTTGCTGGGCATCCCATGTATTGCTAGCCTGGGGTCCTTCACCAGCCCCAGTGACATTGGGAGACAAGTGGACTGACAGGTGGGTCCTCCTGGCCCAAAACTTGTCCCAGCACCGATTTCTGTAAGTGCATCTCATGGCCTCTGGCCCACCTCAATATCCCCTCCTTTGCCCCTACATTCTGAGTGCCCAGGATTAGCCTCTCACCCTTCTTCAGAGGACACCCATCAGCACCCACTGACCCTAGCCAATTTCCTGTTGCCTGAGCTTTTGACCCCAACCTTGCTGCTCCTACAGCCCTGAGGCACTCATAGATGCTGGGAACCTGCACTGTGACAAGTCTCAACTGGCTGCAGAGAGAGGCCACCTGCCCTTCACTGCACTCCCTACCCAGACATAACCCTGCCTGCTATTTCTATCCAAAACCCACACAGGAGGAGAGCCATAGGTGGGTGTGGGTGGGGATGGGGCCAAAGTTGCCTGACTTGTTCTGTCCTGTCATCCTGTCACTCCAAAGCAAGAGGGCAGTGAGACTGCCCAGTCAGCCCTGCTCCCCTTTAGCCAGGCTTCAGCCACTAAGGCCCCTCCCTGGCCTCATGGCCCTGGAAGCCCTCAGCTGTCCTTCCTAGAGGATCCAGGGAGCGGGTGGCTGGAGCAAGAGAGGCAAAGAGGGGAAGGCAGGCTGGAGAGGCTGGCACAAGACCACCTGGCCTGGTCTGCTGGCCTCCCTAAGTCCCAGCACCCAGTGGGCACTCAGCTGCTGCTCAGGAAATAATAATGAAGCAGCTGACTGAAGAAATGAAGGAACTTTCTAGAATGTGTAGAGGATGGACCAAGAAGTCCAGGCCATTAGAGATGCTCACCCTGCATTCAAGGTCTTAAGAACAAGCAGCAGCCCCCTTTCTCCCACATGCAGCATGGTGTCAGGCCCACCTCCAGCTCAGACACTTGTGGTACAGCAAGGTTCAGATCTTGGAGGGACAAGACTACCTCACAGCACTGGGGCCAAGGCAGGGTCCCAGGCCCCTCATGGATACAGGGCCTGCACCCATAACCTCATGCCACCTGCTTAGAGGAAGAAGGGGAAGGGAGGCTAGGAAGGCAGAGGGAGCAGCAGGGATTCTTAGAAAAGGAGCCAGCTGTGTGGGAGCAACTAGGAGAGGGAACGGGTTGTCTCTGGGAGGGTCCATCCCTGGCTCCCAGAGCCTCACCAGGGTCCAGCTTGCTGCGTTTTTGCTCAGGCTCCTGAGGGGCTGCCTCAATGGCCCGCTGAGCCTCTGGATGGGTCTTAAGGAGGGCTTTGGCCAGGGTGGCAGGGCCTGGTACCCCCAGAGACATGATGCAGTGCACTCCTTTGCGCTTGGCCCCAGCCACTTTGGCGCTGTCTTTGGAGGCTGTCAACAGGACCAGTTTGGAGAATTTCCTGGGTTTCCTGGGGGCTGCCGGAATGACATCCGTGCTCGCCTCCGGGGACAGCTCCTGGTCAGCCTTCACACTCTTGCCCTCCTGATCACTGGACTTGGGCAGCGACATCCTGGAACCAACAGGCTAGCCCTCAGGTCACCCACGCTCAGCGTTCAGCAAATAGGTTTCTTTTCCTCTTCTTCCCTGTCCAGAAGCCTGGGAGTCCAGGGACTCTCTCCTAAGGGAGAAGGCAAAAGTCCAGTCAGTGGAGGTAGCCTTTGGGGTTAAGGGCTCTAGAAAGTAGACCCGGGATGCAGCTGGGGGCAACCAACTGCAGCTAGGAACCACCAACTTCATTTTTCACTGATCCATTATTTTCTCAAGTTATAATCTTCATGAGGTCACTTTTTTTTGGCATGAACTAATTTTACAATGGAAACATATTTAACATTTGAAAAGATAAGACACATTTACTCACAAACTAAATTTTTCATTAGTCCATTACTCAGAGAAAAGGTTCTCTGTTCCTATACAATATAATATCATACAAGAAAATAAAGATTGGGGCTGGGGTTGTAACTCAGTGGTAAAGTGCTTAACTAGCATGGGTGAGGCCCTGGGTTCAATCCTCAGCACCACATAAAGATAAATAAGTAAAATAATGGTATTGTATCCATCTACAACTACAAAAAAAATTTTTTTTTTAAAAAAGAAAAGAAAGATTAAGGCTAGGTATGGTGATGCACACCTGTAATCCCAGCAGCTCAGAAGGCTGAGGCAGAAGGATTTTTTTTTAATTGATTTTTTTTAAAGAGAGAGTGAGCAAGAGAGAATTTTTTAATATTTATTTTTAGTTTTCAGCGGACACAACATCTTTGTTTGCATGCGGTACTGAGGATCGAACCTGGCAGCACGCTTGCCAGGCGAGCATGCCAGGCGAGCTCGCTACCACTTGAGCCATATCCCCAGCCCGAGGCAGAAGGATTGCAAGTTCAAAGTCAGCCTCAGCAACTTGGCCAGGCCCTAAGCAACTTAGCAAAGATCTTGTCACTAATTAAAATATAAAAAGGGCTCGGGCTGGGGATATAGCTCAGTTGGTAGAGTGCTTGCCTTGCATGCACAAGATCCTGGGTTCAATCCCCAGTTCTTCTACTACTACTACTACTACTACTACTACTACTAAAAAGGGTTGGAAATGTGGCTCGTGGTTAAGTACCCCTGGGTTTAATCCCCAATACCAAAAAAAGAAAAGAAAGATTAATATTTGGCTTGGGGTGTAGCTCAGTGGTAGAGCTCATGCTTAGCACACATGAGGCCCTGGGTTCAATCCCTGGCATCACAAAAAATAAAGAGATCAAAATAAAAGTTTCAAAATTATAGACACATTGACAGAGACTTGGTGGCAGGTAAGAGACAAGAGATAGAGTGCACTCCACTCCTGGGGCCCACTCACCCAGAACAAAAATGACCTGAGTCAGAAGTGAGATGCTATGACATCAGCCCTGACCTCCGCTGCTGTAACCTTCCTTCCAAGTGTCACTATCACCCCTGCTCTGCCCCAGGAGGATAGTGGCCTCATTCAATTATGTGAATGGCCCAGTAGCACACAGCTGGTGAGAGTAGGCCACATTTTTGAGATCTCATCTCAAAAAGCAAAGAGAAAAAAAAAAAAGATTTTTAAACAGTACAGGCTAATACTCCCCCCTCTAGGAGGTAGAGCTGAAGTCCCCTCCCTTGATTCTCATTAGCCTTAGTGACTCATTTCCAAAGATAAAGAATAGTAAAAAACGTTAACTCTTCAAGGGAGACACCTGGTAGACACCACTTCAACCAGCTGGTGAAGGACATTGGTCACAGGACGTGTGGATGACAGGCGGTGCAATATAAGGAGAAGGGCACCTTACATCTGTGTGATCCTTCCCTCTAAAGCATCACCCTTTGGCTGGGGATATAGCTCAGCACTCGGTAGAGGGCTTGCCTCACATGCACAAGGCCCTGGGTTTAACCCCCAGCACCATCAAATAAATAAATAAAAGCATCATCCTTGATTAATCATGAGAAAATCCCAGACAGCCCCACCTTGAGGGATATTCTATAAGATGCCCAGCTGATATTCTTCAAAACTGTCAAGGTCATCAAAATCAAGGGAAAACTGATTCCTTCACAGATGAAAGGAGACTAAGAAGTTGTTCAGACTAGAAGCAATTTGGGATACCAGATAAGATCCTGGAACAGAAAAAGGACATTAGTGGACATTTATGAAATCTGAATAAAGTGTATAGTTTCATAGTATTTGTGGGCTGGGAAAGTAGCTTGCCCAGAGTGCTTATGCCCTGGGTTCAATCCTAGAACATCAAAAATAACTTTTTTAATATACTGGGGATTGAAGCCAAGGGCATTTAACCACTGAACCACATCCCCAGCCCTTTGGGGATATTTTATTTTGAGACAGGATCTCACCTAGTTGATCAGGGTTTCATTACATTGCTGAAGCTGGCTTTGAATTTGTGATCCTCCTGACTTAGCCTCTCGAGCTGCTGGGATTAAAGGCATGTACCACCACACAATGTAATTTTTAAAAATTTATTTATTTATTTATTTATTTATTTTGACAGAGTCTCACTGATTTGCTTTAGCACTTCGCTTTTACTGAGGCTGGTTTGAACTCGCAATCCTCCTGCCTCAACCTCCAGAGCCACTGGGATTACAGGCATGCACCACCACACCTGGCAAGTTTTGTGTTTTAATCATTGAGAAAATTAAAAGACAACTCAGAATGGAAGAAAAATTTTTACAGCTTATATACTTGATAAAGAACTTGAACCTAAAATTTATAAAGAACACTACAAGTCAATAATTAAAAAAGAAATGACCCAATTATAAAATGGGCAAAAGCTCCGAACAGGCCTTTCTCCAAAGAAGATATACAAATGACCTATACATAAGATGCTCATCATCAGGCATTATAAAATGCAAATAAAATCCATACTGAAATGCATTTCACATTTACCTAAATGGACACAATAAAAGAAAAGGCAGATAAGTGTTGGCAGGGATGAGAAGAAACTGGAATCTCACCAGGCACAGTGGCACACGCCTATGGCTGGAGAGGATGAGGCAGGGAGACCTCAAGTTCAAAGCCAGTCTCAGCAACTTAGTGAGACCCTGTCTCAAAATAAAAGATAAAAATGGCTGGGATGTGGCTCAGTGGTTAAGTACCTCTGGGTTCAATCACTGGTATTTAAAAAACAAACAAAAAAAAAAAAAAAAAGGAGAAACAAATTAAAAGGATCAAAAGGCTTAGCAGTTGCTTTAATTCACTCATTTTATGCCCTCCCAATTCTGCAATCTGATGGTTTGACATTGCTATGAAACTCAGGCACCCCTTTACACTAAAACAGCTCTCATGATGTGGATCATGGAGTGATGAGCAAGGAGACCGAGAAGCATAAAGATGGCTCAGTGTAGACCCAAACCCAAGATTGCACTATTACAAACTGGCAGGAGTCATACACCCTCAGGTCTGTGTCCAGATCCTAATCTCTGGAACCTGTGAATATATTAATTCACTTGTCAAAGGGGAGTTAAAGTTGCTCAGCAAGAGATTATTCTGTGGGCCTAATGTAATCACTGGAGTCCTTAAAAGTGGGAGAGGGAGCCAAGCATGGTGGTTCATGCCTGTAATATTGCAGCTCTGAGGCTGAAGCAGGAGGATCACAAGTTCAAAGCCAATTTCAGCAACTCAGCCAGGCCCTAAGCAACTTAGTGAGACACAAAATAAAAATGGCTGGGGTTGTGGCTCAGTTAAGCACCCCTGGATTCAATCTCCTGTACTCCCCCCCCAAAAAAAGTGGGAGAGGGCAGCAGAAGTGAGAGGGAGGTGATGACAGAAGCAGAGTCCACTAGATGAAATGTGCCTTTCAAGAAGAGGAAGGAGGGTCACAAGCCAAGGAACACAGGTTGCTTCTTCTAGAAGCTGAAAAGGGCAAGGAAAAGATTCTCTTTAGAGTCTCAGAAAGGGTCACAGCCCTGCCCGATTTTAACTCAGTGACACCTGTGTTAGATTTCTGGTCTCTACAACTATAAGGTAATAAAGATGTGTTGTTTTAAGCCACTAAATTTGTTATGGAAGTCATAGGAAAATAATACAAGGTCCAATACCTTACCAGTGAGATTCTGGAAACCTGGCACTTTGTTTGATATCTTAGGTGGATCAAGAGAATTACTTTCATATATATGAAAGAGAAATATCAAGGTCTACCAGTACCTGCAGCCTCAGGGACAAATGCTTTCCCCTCTCTGGGCCGTTTTCATCTGTAATGAGAATAGTGGTGAATTTAGTAGGGTTTGTTTATATGGATAGGTGAAGGGTAAAGTCGATGTTTGCAAAAGTTCTGGGTAATACCAACAGCTGCTCCTCAATCACTGTCCAATGCAACCATAGAGGGCTGTGATTGGATGGCGATGGGATGCTGGTAAACCTAGGTGGACAGGACATATCCTCACAGGGAGATTCAGCAACCCAGGAGGCTGAGGCAGGAGAATAATAGCAATTTCAAAGCCAGGCTCAAACTTAGTGAGGTCCTAAGCAACTTAGTGAGTCCTTGTCTCAAAATAAAACATAAAAATGGCTGGGTATGTGGCTCAGTGGTTAAGTACCCCTGGGATCAATCCCTGATACAAAAAAAAAAAAAGGGCAGCGACTCCCCTCAAAAGGTCAAAAACGGTAGTATGCAGGGCAGAGCGTCCCCAAAATGGGAATTTCAATCAGGGCAACTCCTTCCCCTAATTCCCTTGGCTCAGAATTTTATTTCCCCGTTGTATCTAATTTATTAGATTATAAATACCCATGCAGATAAATTTCTGATGGCAAAGATTTCATGAAATTCCTATGAGTGTCGTCAAACGCTGTCAAATGCTTTTGGGTTGGGCCCAAAAGACAGGTTCCCGTTCCTCTCCCACCAACGCCACCACCTCCCGACTAAGCCCACAGACCTCACGCCTCCTACTAGCTGCCGTCGCTGTACAGACCACCAGACGCGAAGAAGGGACCGGACAGGGGTGGGTGCAGGATGGGCAGTCGGGCGGGGTGGACAGTGCTGGGTAAGGCGGGCGATGTGGGGCTCCCCGATTTGGGGGCGCCGGGCTTAGTCCCGGGTCGGGAGGTTTGGGGGAAGGAGAACCAGGAAAAAGGAGGCGAATCGTGTGTGTCGGACAAGGAGCAGCCGGAAACCCGGCAGAGCCGGCGACCCCCCTTCCCCAGCACAGCAGCTCCGGGACCCCGGAGAGCCGTCCATCCGTGGGGCGGGATGCTCCAGGGCGGTCTCCTCCCCTCCCTGCCTCTGGGACCCGTCCTCACCGACCGCAACGTGCCCTCCCTCTCCGGCGACAGAGCCGCGGCGTGTCCCTCCGCGCGGGTGCTGGGGGGTCTCCGGCCTCAGCTCTGGCAGTCACCTCAAGCAGGGGTCACGGGGCGAGCATGCGCAGCTAGGTCGCGGGAACCCATTCCTGGGCTGATCGCGCTTCTCCGGGTCTTCCCCGCGCGGCGCCGGGCCGACGAGACTCAGCCAATCGGCGTGCGGGGGCGTGGTCGCCACGCGTGAATGGGACGGGGCGGGTCCAGGATCCGACTCCGGCGGACGTCCTGGGCCCTCGCAGCGGATTTCGGGTCCCTGTTCCGGCTTCACAATGCAGGCGGGTGGGTTTAACTGAGGCCCCCCGAACTCCTCGGTATTTGACTTCGGCTCCCTGTGGAGGAAGCCCCGGGCATTTTACTGAACAGGCGGAGGGAAGGACTCTTTCAGTTCATTCAAGCCGCTGGACGGTCCAGCCCAGCATCTTGACTATGGTGATACGTCGCCATTGGTCCAACCCTCGCTTTTAGCCTAGTCTTCGCTCATTGGTCTAGACTTCGCCCCCTGCTTACGGACGTGGACCTTCAGAAAGGCACCCTCCGGGCCTGGGCCTTGAAGATCCCTCAGTTCACCCTCCTTTTGGCTTCTATCAGAGTCTTCCTGTGCTTTCTCGGGGTAGCGTCATTTCCTGGGCATTCTGCAGTGCACTCAAAGGCTTTTAGTCGTCATTATCTATCAATCAATCACAGACTACTGTTTGTATCTAATTTATTAGATTATAAGTACCCTTGCACTTAAATCTCTGATGGCTAGGCTAACGGCGAGGGTTGGACCAATGGCGTTTCCTTTATTAAATGGGGGGGGGGGGCTGGGGTTGTGGCTCAGTGGTAGAGCGTTCGCCTAGCATGTGCGAGGCCCTGGGTTCCATCCTCACCACCACATGAAAAATAAATAAAATAAAGGCACTGTGTCCAACTACAACTAATATATGTATGAAATTCCTAAAGGGGTCAATAGAGGTAATTCTTTTTCCCCCAGTAGGAGGGGAAAAAAAATGTTTTTTCAGGTACCCAGGGGCACTTTACCACTGAGATGCATCCCCAGCCCTTTGCCACAAAGTAGCTAACAGGTGTGATCCACCATGCCTGGTGAGATAAATATATTTTTAAATTTTATTTATTCTAATTTGAATACATGACAGCAGAATGCATTTCAATTGGTAGTACACATGTAGAACACGACTTTTCATTTCTCTGGTTGTACAGAGTGACACCATTGCTGTCTTAATACATGAACTTAGGGTAATGATGGCCATCTCATTCCATGTCCTCTCCCTTCCCTTTGCCCTCCAAAGTTCCTCCATTCCTCCCATGATCCCTCCACCCCCATTATGGATCAGCATCCACATATCAGAGAAAACATTTGGCCTTTGGTTTTTTGGGATTGGTTTACTTCACTTAGCACAATATTCTCTAACTCCATCCATTTAGCTGCAAATGCCACCATTGAGACAAATATTTTTAAAGGCTTTTTAAATGTGTTGCTGAATTTTTCCCAGCGAGGTGCACAAGTTTGAAGTTAGATGCCTGCTGTTTGAATCCCAGCTCTGGCATTTTCTAGCTATGTGACTTAAGCCATCACTTTCCCTCTTTGGGGCTTCGTTTGTTTCTTCATCTGGTTAATGGGGATAATTACATTTATTTCATTTCATAGAGTCACTGTGAGAATTCAAAGTATTGCCACGTGTGCTGATAGGAGTCTTACTTGGGCTTTTATTCCTTAGTTTTACAATATTCCAGATGATTCATCTCAGAATCCCTTTACACTTTTTCCCCCAATATTGGGGATTGAATCTGAGGGTGCTTTACCACTAAGCTACACCCCAAATTCTTTTTATTTTTTATTTTGAGACAGGGTCTCCCTAAATTTCCTAGGCTGGCCTTGAACATGTGACCCTCCTTTCTCAGTTTGAGGAGTTGCTAGGATTATTAAGCCCAGCCCTTTACATTCTTATCATTGAAGAGCTCAAAAGATTTGGGTTATGTGAGTTCCATCTGTCACAATTTATCACATGAATTTTAAATTGAAAATTAAATTGCAGTAAGAATCCTCTGCCCAACTATCTTCACCAAATAGAATCAGCAAATCAGTGTTTTACACTTTTCTTTTTCCCCTTATGTGATGGAGTTTTGCTATGGTTGCCCAGGCTGCTCTTGAATTTGTGGGCCTGAGAAATCCTCCCGGCTTCAATGTCCCAATGAGCCAGGACTACAGGCCTGTGCCACTATGCCTGGCCATTTTTATTTTATTTTATTTATTTACTTATTTTGAAATAGGGTCTCACTAAGGTGCTTAGAGCCTCGCTAAATTGCTGAGGCTGGCTTTGAACTTGTGATTCTCCAGCATCAGCCTCCTGAGCCTCTGGGGTTACAGGTGTGGGCCACTGAGCTCCAGAAGGCCTTTTTATTTATTTATTTTTTTCGGGGGGGGGGGTGGAAATCAGGAATTGAATGCAGGGGCACTTGACCACTGAGCCACATCCCCAGCCCTATTTTGTATTTTATTGAGTTTTGTATTTTATTGGTCTCATTGAGTTGCTTAGTGCCTCGCTTTTGCTGAGGAGATTGGCTTTGAATTTGTGATCCTCCTGTCTCAGCTTCCTAGGCTTCTGGGATTACAGGTGTGTGCCACCTTGCTAGCTTCAAAAAGATCCTCTTAAACAGAGTGGCTTTTCCGCCGCTAGTGTGTGGTGAAAAACACGTGCAATTTGATATCATCACCCTGTATTGTTTTTGCATCATCAGCACAGATATCAACACAGTGGACCAGGCAAAAGACTTCTCAGTATTCCTATGAAGATAATCTGGAAGGGGTGGGGGGGCTGGGGTTGTGGCTCAGTAGTAGAGGGCTTGCCTAGCACGTCTGATGCCCTGGTTTCGATCCTCAGCACCACATAAAAATAAATGTAATAAGGGTATTGTGTCCAACTACAACTAAAACGTGAATATTTTTAAAAAATACTCTGGAACCTCCTGAAAGGTTCTTGGGAGTCACCCTAGAACTCACCATGAAACAGAACACCAGGAGTCACCATGTAACAGTGGTCCACTTTATGCTTTGAATATAACCCTTGCTGCTCTGCTACTGCAACTTTTTAAAAAATATACATTTATTTATTTACTTTTATGTGGTGCTAAGGATCAAACTCAGTGCCTCACATGTGCTAGGCAAGCACATTGCCACTGAGCTACAGCCCCAGCCCTGCAACTTTTTTTTTGGCGGGGGCGGGCTGGGGTTGTGGCTCAGCTGTACAGAGATCGCCTACCATGTGCTAGGCCCTGGGTTCGATCCTCAGCACCACATAAAAACAAATAAACAAAATAAATGTATTGGGTACAAATAAAAAATAAATATGTAAAAAATATTTTTTAGTTGTTGATGAGCCTTTATTTTATTTATTTGTATGTGGTGCTGAGAATTGAATCCAGTGCCTCATGAATGCTAGGCAAGCACACTACCACTGAGCCACAACTCCAGGCCCCTTGCAACTTATTTTTTAAATGGACATGTTTCTTTCTCTTCCTCTTCCCCTAATCTCTCCCCCTCTCTAATCTCTGGAGAAACAGGGTCACCTTTCTTCCCCATCCTAGGCAGAGTTATCTGTCCCTGAGCACACACCCACCATAGGAACGAAGTAACCCAGACTTTGGGGATGGCACCAGAAGACCTCAGAAATGACTACCTCCCAAATTAACAAGTGAATCACACCTCCAGACAGAGAACACGTGGAATGTAGCCTTTGAGTCACCTCTTTAAAAGCCCCCCTGTTCCTGCTGATGGGCAGAATCACAACAGCCTCTGAGACAGGAATCCCCTGTGTTTCTCCTTTGCTAGCAAAGCAATAAACTCTCTTTTTCCATTTTCTCAAACCGTGTCTTCATTATTGGATCGGCACTGGAGCGAGGTTTCAGCAACTACCAGACCAAGGATAGAGGACTGCTGGCCCCTCCATTTTTCTATTGGTGGTTCATCTTTTTTTTTACTCATTTAAATATTTTATTTCATTTCGTTTGTTTATTTTTTTATTTTGATTCCGATTAATCCTAGCTTCCTCCTGTGGTGGAAATATCATGCTTACTTTGTCTCAGCCTGTCTATGCTGCTCTAACAGTAACACAGACTGAACAATTTATAAATGACAGAAATTTGTTTCTCACAGGTCTGGTGGCTGGGATGTCCAAGCTCAGTTTCTGGACGTGTGTCAGATGAGGGCTGCTCTCTGCTTCCAAGATGCTGCCTTGTCGCTGTGTCCTACTCGGGGGAGGAACATTGTCCCCAACTGTAGAAATGACGGAAGGGGAGACAGCACTCCTTTAGAGCTGGCTCTGTACCGTCAAAGGGCCTGGATAGGTGCCGCGCGGCCCACGGTCCCCTAGCTGCGCTGCGCCGCTGGGTCCTGCCGAGCTCGGGAGGCCGCCAGGTTCGCGCGCCCCCTGCCGCCCGGAGCGCCAGCCGCAGGTCTCCAAGGTGGGAACCTGGGGGAGACCGCGGCCAAAGAGCAGAGAGAGCGGCGGAGCTCTCGCTGGGTCCCTCGGTGCCGGACAGGACGCAGGTTGCTGGGCGTTCCCACCGTGGATCGACTCCTGTCTGTCCCTCCGACTTAGTCGTTCCATCGTAGTTTCATTCGGTTGGATTATCCCGACATGGCACGGATTTAGCCACAAAGGTTTTGAATACAGTGACACAAATATGAAGTGACTCATATGCCCATCAAATGATGAATGAGGGGCTGGGGCTGGGGCTCAGTGCTCAGTGGTAGAGCGGTAGAGCGCTAGCCTAGCTCGTGTGAGGCCCTGGGTTCAATCCTCAGCACCACATATGAATAAATAAATAAAGGTATTGTGTCCAACTACTACAACCAAAAAAAAAGATATTAAAAAAAAGATGAATGGATTAATGAAACGCTGTGCTCTCTGCCATGTAACACTGTCCCTCACCCCAAACAGAACAATTGCTGACTTGCTGGAGGTTGGGGAGTGACTAATGGGTTCTCTCTTGGGGATGCTGAAGAAGTTTTGGAAATAGGTGATGATTGCATAGCCTTGTGACTATACTAAAAGCCACAGAATTATGTCCTCCAAAAATAGTGATATATGAATCTCTCCCCCCCCCCTTTTTTTTTTTTTTGTACCAGGGATTGAACTCAGGGGTGGTACTTAACTACTAAGCCACATCCCTGGACCTTTTTATTTTTTTGAGACAGGGTCCAGGGTCTTGCTGAATTGCTTAGGGCCTTGCTAAGTTGGTAAGGCTGGCTTTGAGCTTGTGACCCTCCTGCCTCAGCCTCCTGAGTTGCTGGGATTACAGGCCTGCACCACGGTGCCCAGCATTAGATCCTAATTTAAAAAGAAGAAACACATGTTCAAACAAGAGGTAGAAAGTGGACCATGGGTAGAACTCAATGGTAGAGTGCTTGCCTAGCTTGCGCAAGGTCACACACACACACACACACACACACACACTATACACACATGGGAAAATATTAAAACTGTTGGTTTGAACAGAGCCGGGGTTGTGGCTCAATGGTAGAACAATTGCCTGCATGAGGCACTGGGTTCAATCCCCAGCACCACATAAAAATAAACAAATAAAAGTATTGTGTCCATCTACAACTAAAATATATATTTAAAACAAAATGCTTTGAACAAACTGAGCTCAGTGATGCTCACCTCTAATCCCAGCCACTCATCAGGCAAAGGCATGAAGATCACAAATTTGGAGCATGCTACAGGGACACTGCTACATCGATGTTCATAGCAGCACAGTTCACAATAGCAAGACTGTGGAACCAACCTAGATGCCCTTCAATAGACGAATGGATAAAAAAATGTGGCATTTATACACAATGGAGTATTACTCTGCATTAAAAAATGACAAAATCATAGAATTTACAGGGAAATGGATGGCATTAGAGCAGATTATGCTAAGTGAAGCTAGCCAATCCCTAAAAAACAAATGCCAAATGTATTCTTTGATATAAGGAGAGTAACTAAGATCAGAGTAGGGACGAAGAGCAGGAGAAGATTAACATTTAACAGGGATGAGAGGTGGGAGGGAAAGGGAGAGAGAAGGGAAATTGCATGGTAATGGAAGGAGACCCTCAGGGTTATACAGTGGAGGGGGTAGAGAGAGAGGAGGGGAGGGGAGGGGAGGGGAGAGGTGGGGAGGGGGGAGGGTGGAGGATGGGAAAGGCAGCGGAGCACAACAGACACTAGTATGGCAATATGTAAATCAATGGATGTGTAACTGATGTGATTCTGCAATCTGTGTATGGGGTGAAGGTGGGAGTTCATAACCCACTTGAGTCAAAGTGTGGAATATGATATGTCAAGAAATTTGTAATGTTTTGAACAACCCACAATAAAAAATTAAAAAAAAAAAAAAAGATCACAAATTTGAAGCCAGACTGGGCAATTTAGCAAGACCCTAACTCAAAATAAAAAAAGACTGGGGCCTGTTGCACACTTGTAATCCCAGCAGCTCAGGAGGCTGAAGTAGGAGGATTATAAATTTAAGGCCAGCCTCAGCAATTTAGTGAGGCTCTAAGCAAAGACCTGTCTCAAAATAAAAAGGGCTAGGGATGTTGCTCAGTGGTTAAGAGCACCCATGGGGTCAATGACTAGTATCAAATTAACATTAAAAAAGCGAGGGTGGGGGAGAGAGGGGACTGGGGCACTTGCTTAGCATGTGTGAGTCACTGGGTTGGATTCTCAGCACCGCATATAAATAAAATAAAGGTCCATCAACATCTAAAAATAAGTTTTTTTAAAAAGGCAGGGATGTAGCTCAGGAAAGAGCACCTCTTAGGCTCAAATTCTAGTATAACAAGTTTGAACACCCTGTACTTCTAGTGTTTGCATCATTCACATTGTTATTTTTTGAGCTGGGTCTCCCTAAATTATGTGGGTTGACCTGGAAATCCCAATTCTCCTGTCTCAGCTTTCCAAGTAGCTGGGGTCACAGGTGTGCACCACTGTGCTCAGCACATTTACTTTAAAAACCAAAAAGTAAAACTAAAATATGCTTTGTTTTTTTAATTCTAGACATGTATTTTCTGTATATTTTCATAAAGTTTTTATGCTAAAGTCATTAATTATTTAAAGTGCTTGTCATTTGTTAAGCTAATTGGTAAACTTAGAACTTCAAAAAAAAGCATTGATACTTCATTCTCTGGTGCCATAATTATGTTTTTCAATGAGATTCATGTTTTAAGTCTAAAGTCAGGCCTTTATTTATTTATTTATTTTAAATTTTGATTGCTGGTTTCAGAGGTTCAGTCTGTGGTTGGCCAACTCCACAGTTCTGACTCATGAAGCAGAATACCAGGGCAGAAGAGAGCTGCTTGCTCAGTTCAAGACAGCCAGGAAGCCAAGAGCAAGTGGTGGCTTTTCTGAGGGTGAGGAAACAGTTTGTTGCAGTGAACATCTAGTCAGATTTGAATTGCAAAGTGCCTAAAACCAGGTACATATACTCCTATAGCATTCAGTGTTAATGCTAATATAAATATACCTCGCTTGTTTTTTTTTTTTTTTTTGGTACTAGGGATTGAACCCAGGAGCACTTCACTGCTGAGTAACATCCCCAGCCCATTTTATTTTTTATTTTGAGACAGAGTCTCACTACTCTGCTGAGCGCCTCCCTAAATTTCAATCCAAGATCAGTTGGCTCCATTGTTTTGGGCCCATGATGAGATACTGTAATCCCAGTGACCTGAAGCAGGATGGTCAAATGTTTGAGGCAAGCCTCAGCATCTCAGGTGAGACCCTGACTCCAAATACAAAATAAAAATGTCTGCGGATATTAGCTCAGTGGTAAATACCCCTGTGTTCAATCCCAGTACCCCTCTTCAACAAAGTAAGACTTATGAATATTTGGATTTCACATACATTTTATTTATTTATTTTTTAATATTTATTTTTTAGTTGTAGTTGGACACAATACCTTTTTTATTTATTTCTATGTGGTGCTGAGGATCAAACCCAGGGCTCCACACGTGCTAGGTAAGCACTCTATCACTGAGCCACAACCCCAGCCCCAGATTTCACATACATTTTAAATTACTAATGGTTGTAAAATTTTTCTAGTTTGTTGTCATGTACTGAAAGAGACCAAAGAAACATGGCAAACAGCCAGTCATAGTAGCACAGGCTTATAATCTGAACTACTTGGGAGGCTGAGGCAGGAAGATTGAAAGTTGGAGGCCAACTTCAGCAATTTAGCAAACCCCTAAAATATTTGTTTATTTATTTGCTTCCTCTTTTTTTTTTTTTTTGGTACTGGGGATTGAACCCAGGGGCACTTAACCACTGAGACACATCCCCAGACCTTTTTGTATTTTATTAGAAACAGGGCCTCACTGAGTTACTTAGCACCTCGCTGTTGCTGAGGGTGACTTTGAACTCACCATCCTCCTGTCTCAGCCTCCCAAGCCACTGGGATTACAGGTGTGTCCTATTGTGCCCAGCCTCTTGTTTTTAATTCCCATAATAGATCAGTTCATCCAGCAGCCAGATTTGATTCACCACATTGTTGGTCAAGGGTGAAATTCTCATTCACTCATGTACACACATCCCACAGAAAAGACATAGAAGCAAGTAGTGATCATCATGGTGACTCTGAGGTTCCCCTAGGAAAATACATCCTATGTACAAGGTCATTTTTTACATTAAATAGATATATTCTGATTAAATCCAGCCTTCATGAGATCACTGATTCCCATTTTCATCCTCTTCCACTTACCTACGTTAGGAGCTGTTCACAATTTATAAAGTTGTGTTGACAGCACAAAATATAAGATCATCAGATAACTGGACATCTTGGAGAAAAATATATTATATGTGGATGAAATAATCTCATTGGAATTAACTTGTTCACAGTTTGAACTCTTAGGCTGTAAAGTAGTTAAAATATATGTAAGTTTTTCTAGCAAGCTGGAAAACAAGCTATTCAGGATTGCATATGAAGGGCTGGGGATATAGCTCACTTGGCAGAGTGCTTGCCTTGGATGCACCAGGCCTTGGGTTCAATCCCCAATACACACACACACACACACACACACAAACATATGAAGTGTTTCTGAATGTGGCAATATTTCATCCACACATACTGAAATCTAGGTGTGTTACACCACTGTTTCTCCTCCCACCCTGAAATCCATAACCATTTCCACTTTACACTCAGGATTTATGACCAAGTCCAAGGGCTTAAAAGAGAGAAAACACATAGACAACACACAGAAGTTTTCTCTGCTTTGAGACAGCAGAAAATCCCAGTTGCTTCAGTTACCAGAG